TCACTCATCTCCGTGTCCTGCCTCCTGGGGTTGCTTTGCTGTTGTTTCATGCCATCGAGTTGACTTGTGACTTGTATGAACAAGGCCCTGACTCTTCCCAGTCCTGAGCCATCCACACCGTCTCTGACACACCTGCCCCCTCTGTCCCAGTTATCATGTCAATCCGACCCCTCCAGAATCTTCCTCTGTGAGCTGACCCTCCCGTCTCCTAAGTATAATGTCCTTCTCCAAGGACTGGACCCTCCAGGCCACACAGTCTTTACCCTTAGGTGTCATGGGCTCCTACTCCCCCCCCCCGTGTCCCTTGTCATGCTCTCAGCCCCTGGAGACCCCCCTCGTCTGTCAGAGGAAAACATGTCACCGAGATGCTGGGTCTGATGGCCAAGGCTCAGCAGAGGTTCCTACTGTGAGGGACACGGAAGATTCTCAGGTGGCCGAGGACCCAAAGACTAGGTGCTTCTGCGTCTTGGTACACACTCAGGATGTACCTGTCTGCCCACGTCCTCTCAGCTGCCACCACAGGAGTCTTGGGTGTCCTGGAGACTCAGGGTGCCCCAGGCTTATCTCAGGTCTGAGGGCTTCTCATTGTCTGCTGATCGGAGGTGTGATAAATATTAATCCCATGGAGAAGGAGCTGGGCTGTCAGAGCAGGGCAGCCCTCCAGCACCTCCCAAACCCGAGGCGCTCACCTGCAGAGGGGAACACCCAGGTCCCTAACCCCAGCACCACCTGTCAGCAGTTGAGCTTGGTCAGTTCCTGCCTGCCATCCCGTGGGTTCTGAGGCAGCCGTCGTACCCTCACCCCGGTGGGACTAGGACAAATCTAGTGCTGTGTCACAGGTCAGAGTCCTGCCTTGCCACCTCAACTTTCTTCCTACCAGTGTCCTTGCTAGGGCTGCTTCTGGCACTCACCTCCATGCCCAACATCACCCCCACCCACCCTACGGGCTTTCTCCCCTCTCTGGACACCCCAGTGGTCAGGGTCAGCTCAGAGCATGAGTGCTATGTGTGCAGGCTCTTGGGGCACCAGCACCCCACCCCTGCTTGAGCTGGAGGAGATGGGGTCATGGCATGGGTGAGGATTAGGTGAGGTGGAGGGGACATCACAGGGGGGAGGAGGTGATAATGATGGGGTGAAGGTGATAACGATGGGGAGGAGGTGATGATAGGGAGGTGGAGGTGACAATGGTGGGGTGGAGGTGATGCTGGTGGAGTAGAGGTGATGGTGGTGGGGTGGAGGTGATGACAGTGGGATGGAAGTGATGACAGTGGGGAGGAGGTGATGACGGTGGGATGGAGGTGATGAACGTGGGGTGAAGGTGATGATGGTGTGGTGGAGGTGATGATGGTGTGGTGGAGGTGATGACAGTGGGGTGGAAGTGACGATGATGGAGTGTAGGTGATAATGAGATCGAGGAAATAATTGTGGGGTGGAGGTGTTGGTGGTGGGACTGAGGTGATGATGGTGCTGTGGAAGTGATGATGGTGGAGTGGAGGTGATGGTGGTGTGGTGGAGGGGATGATGGTGCGGTGGAGGTGATTATGGTGGGGAGGAGGTGATGATGGTGGATTGCAGGTAATGATAGTGGCGTCCAGGAAAGGCAGTTCTCAGAGTTCAGGGCATGGCAATAAGCAAACACAGAAAAGAAAAAAGGAGTACACTATCTACTTAACATCTCCAACAAGAAGAAAAGAACAAAGAAATAGCCTCCAGCTGAAAGGAAATGATAAAGATAAGGAATGAAATAAATGGAAGGGAAAACGATTGAAACCATCAACATGACCAGGAGCTGGGTCTTCATAAG